TTAATATTGTATATACAAATGTAGATAAGTCTTTACCATATTTACAATTTTTAAAATAAATGTCTGTCCGTCATTTTAGCATAATGAGAATAGTGTGACCGTGTGCGGTTGCGAGCTCCGAAAGACTCTTACTAAAACACGTCTGATTTTGTAGCTGTGAAACCTGTTGGCGCTTAAATGACCAAAATTGTGTCGATGGTGCCGTAAAACATCTACTCAATCAATCAATCAATCATGAAATTGATATTGTATATACAAATGTAAATAGTCTTTACCATATTTACGAACATTTTCATAAATGTCTGTCCGTCATTTTAGCAAAATGAGAATAGTGTGACCGTGTGCTGATTCAAGCTCCGAGAGACTCTTGTTTAAACACGTCTGATGTTGTTGCGATGAAACCTGTTTCCGCTTAAATGACCAAAGTTGGGTCAATAGTGACTTAAAACACCTACTTAATTAATTGTAGAAACAATCGAGACTTACCTGTAAGTTGATGATTGTTTCTGATTTTGACGATCTGTTGTCAGGAACGCCTTTGATCAGTCTTTTTACACAGTCAAGATTTCCAAATGGGCCATTTTCTACTTTTAAGTAGCATGACAAGGCTGACCTTGCGGTGTACACAGCGGAGAGCGAAGCTCCTGAGCTAAAAAATTATCCCAAAAAATTAACTGCCGCAGTCACAGGCTGTGAAATGGGATCCACTTGATTCCTAAGAGCGAACCTCTTCCACTTTGCAATATATGTGTTATAGGCTCTCCTAGTATCAGGTCGCCATGAGGCCATGGTGAGCTTGTTAGCTTCTTCTGAAAAGCCTTGTTGTGCGTACTGTTGCCTGACGCCCTGCATATTAGCAGTCTGAGCCTTTTCCTCAGTGGATGTGGAACATCCGGGTGGCTTGATAGGGCCAGAAGCCTTTTGCGTGCTGACAGTAGAACTGGTTGACGCACTAGGAGTTTCATGAGGAGAGGGAAAAATGGTTGAGTTGGCCAGAACGGTGCAATCACTACACCTGTTGCTACATCTTCCTTGATTTTTTGAAGGACCCTAGGAAGGAGAGAGAAGGGTGGAAAAGCCGGAAAATTATGTGATTTCCATTTCAATGTGAAAGCTTCAGTTGCGAAAGCCCCTGGGTCTGGCTTTAAAGATACATACCTTTCACACTGGTGGTTCAGCCTGGATGCAATTAAGTCTACATAAGGCGTACACTTTAACATTTTCAATGCGAAATCCAAAAGTTCTGAGTCTCTTTGACATTCAGTGTCAACACTGACAAGTCTACTTTCATAGTCTGCCTGTGTATTTTCGGAACCAGGGATTCTCGCAACTGACAGCCATATATTCCTTTTGATACACCAATTCCATACGTTTTTGGCCAACTCATCGAGTTTAGGGGATTTTACTGATCCCATTTTGTTGAAGTAAATCATGGCTACTGTGTTATCCACAAATAGTCGGATATGAACATCCGTCAGTCCTTTCGCAAACGATTTCAAGCCCATAAAGGCTGCGAGCATTTCTAGCTCATTAATATGCATATTACATGCTTCTTCGTGTGACCAGGCTCCGCCTGTTTTTTTAGTGCCACAGACAACTCCCCAAGCTTTTGTGCTGGCATTTGTGGTGACCACCAACTGAGGATCTGGTCTAGTTATTGGACTCACAGACGAGCCAATGTTTCTTTTCCACCACTCTATGTCTTTGAGAACTTGTGGCGAAAGGTGCATTGATTTTTCCCAATTATATTTGCATGCTTTTAAAGCTTTCATCTTGTCATTTTCAATATTTCTATAATGAAGAGGCCCATAGAGCACGGCTGGAAAACCAACGACCAGCAGACCTATGAGTCTTGCTACGTCTCGTATTTTGTTAAACTGACAGCCTCCAAAATAGCTTCTTTCCTTACCTCAGTAAGAGTCAATATCATTTCCTTCGATTTAATGATAAACCCAAGGTAGGTTATTTCTTGGGTAGGAGTGAGAACAGATCTTGTGGGGTGCACGACAAACCCTAGTTTATCAAAAACTGATATTGTGTCACCTATGTTTTTCAAACAGTCTACCTTTTATCTGCTAGAAGCAGTGAGTCATCAAGATAGCCAGTGCCGAGGTGCCCTAAGCTACGCAAGTGCGCATATTATATTGACTTTGTCAGCTTTGTAAAGTTTCTTGGACACTGAGCCAGGCCATTGCTGAAACAAGTGTACTCGTAGAGTTGCCCTTTCCAGAGGAATTTTAAGTATTTTCTATCTTCTGTGGTAATGGGGACGCTATAATATGCAGAAACAAGGTCTATGCTCGCCATCCAGCAGTTTCTGGACACTAGATTGAAAGTCGTAGCTAAAGTTCCCATTTCAAACTTCTCATATTGAAATTTACATTGAACTCTTTCAAGTTTAGGATCATTCTATATGAGCCATCACTCTTCTTTCTGGTAAATATGGAGGAGATAAACTCTCCTGGTTC